TATAATTATGATGAGCTAATAACTTACTGGAGTATTAATGGCTTAGATGTATGTATGAGTGTAATATACTGCCTAATAGTGAATCTAGATTCATGTAATCAAGATGGCCAACTTCATACTACATTCTCTGAGTTCTTTTAGAAATTTTTGAACGATAAAATCCAACTTAATGGAGAATTAAACACATTGTCAGCTGGATTATGTGATATCACTAACTGATCGAAATCGGAAATATAAACCATCTTATTTTAACTTAGTTATAAACATATGTCGTAACTTCTGTCCTGTCCTCTTATTTCTTGAGTATGATATCATTTATAGTTATGAGTGGTTACTCCTGATGAGTTCTGAACTAGTTTCTGTATAACTATGTGTAGACCTATTAATATATATTATTGATTTTTAATACAGTTTACAGATCACGCAACTAACCTAAACTGTTCTTGCAACCAAATGATTATTCACCAATAAAAATTCTCAGATCATTTGATTATACTGTTATGATATGAATAATTTGGGTTGTTCAGTTGCATTCTCTCGTTGATTACACATCATCTGATTTATGCATGTTATACTGACAAACCTTGTATGCAGTCTAACTACTGATATCTGTCAGTAGTATGATGAATTTATTTTATCGAATTTCGTTTTGTATTTGCAAACTCAGTGAAAGCACATTCGATTAGATAAACAATTTCTAAGCTGAAATAACTCTATGTTAGGCGATTAAAATCAAAGTCCAAAGTTAACTGCTTATGATCCATACAAATTCTTATCTAAAATAAGATGATATATATTTATTTACCAATCAATAAAATACTTGGTTTTTATAGGTCATTTACTGATAACAATCGATATAGAATGAATTAGGTTTTGGCAGACTTAGTGTTTTGTTAGAGATAGATAGACAGATAGACAGATAGATAGATACTATTATTACTTATTAATAATAATCTGATGACGTATTATGAGAGGTCATTACCACCGACCTGACATTTTTACATTGAAGGAACATGTGTCAGACCTCCGCTCATTATCGTGATAAAAAAATAATGATGAAATAACTTTTGTTGATCACTGTTTTATTTCAGATTTTACTGTCACCTAATTGACATTTACATATGAAGTTAATTTCAATTTTATGTTAACTAGGTTGCTAGATTGTATAAGTACTCATTTGTTTCTTAATTATCATATATAACATCACATCCTTCTATAAATGACTTTATTTTTAAAATATAAATACTATCAGTATAGAGTTTTGTGAAGATCATAGAATTTCCTAGGTTCAGATCATGAAATGTTCTTAGCGAGACCACTATGGTAAACCAGGAATCATTAGACTTTTGTTACATCTTAGATTGTCACTATTCAACATTGTTTATTCACGACTTCACCAAAATGAGTCGAAACCCTATTCTTGTAGTTTCAGTGAGAGGCTGTGACTAGTGGAGTTCGCTTATGCCAGGCATGAAACATTCATTCGTCACAGGCAATGAAAAATGGTCTGGTACTGTAGTGAATTGATTGAAATTAGACATGTTCGCCACTGGATGATGGCTCAGTGGTTTAGAGGTAAACCATTCTCTGTAAGACTGGAAAGTCCCTAGTCCGATTCCCTGTGCATGTTCGTAAATACAGGGCTGGATAGCCCTATACTAGGAAGATACAGTTGTCCAGTGCTTAATGACTCTTAGTGATGGTCTAGCGAAGATCAAAGAATAAAATCTCAGATTGGAGCAGAGTAACATGCGTTAATAATATCAGATAAATTGAGAATTTGGTGGATGTTTAATAATAAAAGTAATAAATTTGCGCTATCCGACTAAGTAGTAAAGTTAGATACTGTTAACGTTTCTTGATTCAATGCGGGTCACTTCTTAACGTGTGGTCGTCAGCCTCAAGCAATTATGCACTCTACAGCCAAAAAGTCTGTAATTGTTTTTCAAGTTACTTCTTTAACAGTGAGGTCAGCACACAACTTTACAAACTTTTTAGGTAATCTTATCCCCAACAAAATCTCCCTTATTAATGTCTAACATTACTTTTGTTCTTATTATCAACATTATGCTGATTTTTCCTTCTCTTATGCACGTTTAATTCTAATGACCTCTTATCATACTCTCTTACTTCTACTATGGGGTGACTTCTCGACACACCGTACAATTTTGAAACGCAGTGTTTTATTAATTAAGGCTTTATAATTTTATTCCGTCAACACATGCTGTATTCATGAGACCCCGATACAAGCTCTGGTGACGTCCATTCACTTAAAATACCGTAACCACTAAATCTTAGCTTACGGATAAGTACTTTAGTCAGAACTTCTCGAAGTTTTACTAGGAGTAGATATTATCTGTTCATCTGTTTCATTTTAGTTCCAGTAAGATAATTTTGGTATGGGGTCACGGAGAATGATGATATACTGTAGTATATCATCTGCAAAAGACTCAGTCCATATGAATAAATGAAAGGATTCATAGATTACTACTTAATAATAGTAAGTAACATAAATTATAACACAATGTTTTTGTAATGGTTTCAGCTCAATCTACTCTCTTAACAACGTTTGTGAGTGAAACATAAAGTTGAAAAGCTTAGGAAAACAACGACTACCTACAATGTTAATGAGTACAAAATTAATAAATAAATCACTTGGTACTCAAATGTCAACAGTGTACATAAAAAGAAAAAAGATGTTAACCTGGAAATTGAACAGTGATTTTGCAATCTAAGTATGTCACTACTACAACCACTGTATGGGGCTTTATTAGGTATATCCTATTCCAGTCTTTCATTCGTATACTTCTGGATGAAGGCCAGAGTAAATCCGCTGACCAGTTCAATCCGCATGCCCTCATCTCATGGAACCAAATAAGTATTTTTTTTGTTGAGAAATATTTTACTACGTATTAGTAGTAGAAAGCTAACTGAAACATTCATTTAAAATGTATACTTGCTTAGGTGAAAATCGAAAGTTCAAAGGTTATTTACTTACGATAATTTGTCACATACGAATTTCAGACTAGATTCTTCCACAGGGATTATGATAAATTTCGTCAGATGGTTTGCGTTTTTTCTTAGTACGAAGTGGCTTATTCACTCGAGTTGACATCTCTCAAAAGATAAAACTCTATGGATATATATAACAACTCGATTTATTAAGAAATGCAGGTTCAGTTAAAGCTAAGCTAACACCATATTTTTACTTATAAATCATAATATAATTAGCATTCGTAATTCTACATCTCATTACCGGGAGTAATTAATTATACTTACATGATAGCTTTTTGAAAACATTTTTATCCATGTAACTGAAATATATATTCAGACTGCTTAAAACCACTGAAGTTTATAAACTTGATTTATAATAAAAACTCGATAAATGAAATTGGAAAGAACATATGAATTATAAACAAATCTCTAATCAACAGCTTCTAGGTCATTCCAACATTTCCTATCAGTGTTCTCCTAATAACCAAGTTTCTAAAATTTAGAAAACCTTTCCTGCTTCCATTTTCCTTCTCATACAGCTTCATTTCGGTTAGAACAAGGACATCTACCTTGTGCAATTATGATTACCTAAGTGATTGAACCCTGAACATTTAGATTTCATAATTATCATGATAAACATGAAATTTTAACTCAGAATACAATATTTCACACTTCCACCTCTATTTATCTCAATCTCCAATGAAAAAACAACCTGAACTTCATAACATATTCAAAATATCTTCACTAATAAGATTATCAACATTGAAAGTTTCTCATTTTGCTTGTAGTTAGTACATATGTAATGTGCATTTTAATCGGATAATTGAAATGGCTTTCGAAGTAAATCACCCAATGAGATAAAAATATTTATCAAGACATGCTTAGCATAAAGATGCATTGTATTCTGTAGGAGCATATAGATCAATATGCATGGAAAGTAAAATTGAAGGAAAAGAGAAGTGGATAATTGACAATTTAATGCAAACAAATTATTCATTTATATTTTCAGAAATAAAACCAAAAAGCAACATTTAACATTGGCATAATCACAGGTTTTAGAGTTGATGGAGTAAGATTTCGAATACGTCTTTGATATGTAATAATTAACCAAATAATTAAGTTAAACCTTACTTACTTACTTACTTGCTTACTTACTTACGTACTTACTTATTTACGTACTTACTTATTTACGTACTTACATGCTTACGTCTGTTACCCCTAATGGAGCATAGGATGCTGACCAGTATTCTCCAACCAACTCTATCTTGAGCCTTACTTTCCATTTCTATCCAACTGCTGTTTACTCGATTCACATCTGCTTCCGACTCTCCGAGTATTGTGTTCTTCAGTCTGTCTCTTTTCTTTTGGCCTTGAAGAATTCAATTGAGGGCTTGCCTTGTGACACAGCTGGGTGCTTTCTTCAATGTGTGATCTATCCACTTATAGCAGCATCTTCTCCTAATTTCTTCCTTCCTCAACTGGAATCCAGTTTGTTATTTTCCACAGTTGGTTGTTGCTGATGGAATCTGGTAAACAGATGCTCATTACCCTGCATAGATAACAGTTGCTAGACGCCTGTATCATGTGGATGATGGCTTTCGTGGTTCTATCCACTTCCAATAATTTTTCTGAATTTCTGCCTTAACTAGAATCTGATTTTGTTCTCAACCACAAGTTTAATCGATAGAAATAAAATTCAGTTTCTGTTCATTGGTTATTTTTCTCTTGGAGTACTGTATTGTTTCGATTTTTTTTTCATACCTTATCTATGTAGGCATTAAATTTATTTTCATGTTGGACTTAGTGACTTAATTATTTTTTTAATAAGTGATGATTTGCATTTGAATGAAGTTACTTGAAAAAACTAATGTCATTACGCATTCGTTAGTATATATATATATATATATATATATATATATATATATATATATATATATATATATATATATATATAATAGACTTTTTAATCACACAAATAATAACCATAGTTTTATATTACAAGAAACATGAAATTATTCAATCAACTTAAAACTATAAGATTATTCATTTGTCATAGATTTCATCGTTTATTTAATTCAAACAATAAATGTTTCACATATTTTATAATTATCATTTTGATTACAATTCTGTATTTATCAATTTTAATGAAACTCTTCAATCTTGAAGTTACAAATACAATGACACTAACTACACCGCGAATATTTGTACAAATTACAAATTATTCATTATCATCGAATTATTCTACTATAGAAGCTGTCATTCATCTGACAACAAATTCAGTTCCTCTAATAACCACCAAAATGTATTATCCCCGACATCGATATTATCGTCAACATCATCATTCACATCATAGTTATAGAAAAATGCGATTCAGAAAAATGAAATCCTTGAAGACTATCAAATCGAAGCGGCGAATAAATTCGAGAGTAAATCAAAAAACTAAACTAAAGAAAAGAGTTTCTTCACGAAACTTGTTCCCGTCCTTATATTTGAACAGTTCATTTTGTTTAAAACAGTCTAATTTTTATATTGGTAATGCAAAACACGTCAAATCAAAGAGATTCCAACAAATTATGAAGTTAAATACTGCATTAACACCATTAAATAAAAGTCAATGGTTGAAAATAGCGCCAAATATTTGTCAATCTGCTAAAACAAATCTGTTAATCATTACATTTTCTCCAGTTGAAGATAGTTCAACTCGGGATAAAATTCGTCAAACATGGGGTTCAGTCAAATATATTTTGAGTGAAACCACTACCAGTGGACAATATTACAATGGGTTGAACATTATTGAACATTTATTTGTTGTCAATATTAGTAAATGGCACTTTAAACAAAATTCAAAAACAGTTCAAAATCTTTTAAAAGAAGCACAAAATGAAAAAGATGTTTTACCTCTATTTTTAACTGGTTTACAGAGTAACTATGCCTCGTTACATATTTTGACCAGTGAATTCTTACTGCATCATTGTAAAAATTCCGTAGATTTTGTTTTATTCATTAATGAAGATTTATTTCCAAATATAAATGCTTTAATTCAATATACAAATTCGAAATTATCACATTACTCATCGAGTTCATTAAAACAAAATAATAATAGTCCAACCATGTATTGTATACCAATTATACAAAAACGTGTTGACGTTAAAAATCGATTAAAAGACTATTTTAAAAATCACTTACCATCATGGCATGGAAATATTTATCCAACGCATTGTGATATTCAAACTAGCGGTTTTCTTCTATTATTTGAAACAATGAAACAATGGTTTACATGTTCTCGTTTATATATACCATTCAATCCTATTCAAGTTTATTTAACTGGCCTTGTAAGAGAGAAAGCTAATATATACATTGAAAGTTATTGGACACATTACTGGTCAGTCGGTAATCTTCTACCAAGTGTATCTTTAAATCAAAAGAGTAAAAAATATTTATTTTTTCAAAAATCCATTAATCAAAATAGTCGAGTGTGGAAAAGTGTATTTCGTGCAATATTAAGCCAATAACTTCATTCTATACTATGATGTATTTACTGTGTGTTAATTTTTCTGTTGCAAAAGAGCATTTTTATTTGCATTTCTTTACGAATTCATTGTTTTTATATCATCAAGAGAGTTAATATATATATATATATATATATATATATATATATATATATATATATATATATATATACTTTTTATGAATCCTAGTTTTGTTTGCTACTAACAGAAATACAATGATTTAAGTGAATTACTTACTTATTTACTTACTTACGCCTGTTACCCCCCCCCAAAGGAGCATAGGTCGTCGACCAGTATTTTCCAACCTACTCTGTCTTGGGCTTCCCTTTGCAGTTCTGTCTAATCGTTGTCCATTCTTCTCGTTTTTTTCCATTTCTCAGCGTAATGTGTTGTTTGATCATGCTCCTTTCCTTTGAACTTGAGGGTTCCAAGTGAGGGCTTGTCTTGTAACGCAGTTGGATGCTTTCCTCAATTTGTCCTATCCACTTCCACCGCTTCTTCCTGATCTCCCCCTCCACTGGAATCTGATTTATTCTCTCCCACAGTGGGATTTTACTGATAGTGTATGGCCAGCAGATTCGGAGTATTTTGCTTAAAGAACTATCAATAAATACTCATATCTTCCAGATGATGGCTTCATACGGTACAACTGTCTTGACATATGCATTGAATATTTTGACTCTGGTGTTTGTTGATAGTTCTTTTGAGTTACAGAGGTTCTTGAGTTACAGAAATACTACCTGTGCTTCGCCAATCCGTGTCTTTAAATCTACATCAGATCCACTCGCTCATCAATGATGCTACCCAGATACTTAAAGGTTACTACATCTTCCAAAGTATCTCCATCAAGAGTGATTAAGTTGGCGCATGTAGTATTGTATCGGAGAATCTTGCTTTTTCCTTTGTGTGTGCTGAGACCCGCTCCATGCGGAAGTGATTTAAGTGATTAGCACAGTATAATAATTTCCCTTTCTGAAAAATAAGGCTGACTGTTTAAATTTAGGTGTATCATCAGTTCAATGATTGGCCTATGAAGTGAATTGTTAAAATTAACAGTAGTTTACGCCATAGATTGATGTAAGTAGAAGTATTTTTGGAGATGCTCAATCTGCAACTGCAACTATTGACTAGCTTCGTGAGGTTTCCGGAGTTATAGTGCAAAGACGTGACCAGTGGAGTTCAACCCTGTCGGATCTAGGCAGTAACTACTGAAGACAATCGATGAGGTTGCGTAAAATCCTAACATTGAATAGTGTTAGACATGAATACCGTTGAATACCGGCTCACTGGTCCATAGGTTAACCGTTCGTACTCAAGCCCGATTATCTTGGGTTCAAGTCCTGAGAGTAGTAGAAATCGTGGATGCACACTGCTGATTAGTCTCATACCAGGGAAAAACGGCCATCAAGTGTCCGCATGTTTCTAACGGTAGTCTAACAATGATTCATCCGTGTTTTCACGGTAATTGATATACTGACCTAAGATGATCTACATTTAATTAACTTTCAGGACACTTTCAATTTTATAGATTCATTCAGTAGGAATTTCATTTATTTTAAGTTCCAATAGATTATAATACATTTATATGAACTTTTTGAATCTTCCCGGTGATCATTCTGTTTTTGGCTGAGTCCAAGTTCCCCCAGTGAATATTAATTCTGATTGTATCAAGAAAGATATTCATTCATTACGAGCGATTCATTACTAATAATCACTTAACGTAATCGATATTAAAACTGAATGAAATAAAAATGAATGATTAAAGTTTATGTTTGTACCTGAGAAAAATAATCACACCGACTGAAATTGTGCTATAAAGATCAAAAGTCATTTCTATTAAATTACACCTATGGTATCATTTCAATTTTAAATAAAAAAATCGTATTTAATTCAGTTTTCCTTTCAAGAAATAAAAGTTTCAAGTAATGGCAAAGTACATTTAAACACTGTATCGAACGCAAGAATAATGTGAACAACGATCCGTCTGCAAAACCATATTTTATTGTCTGAGTTAAATTTGACGTGGGGCCCACTACTTTAGTGGCGCATGATTCGACTCTTTTTGGACAACTGACTGAGCATACTATGAAATAAATTTGCTCTTCAAGTATCTGTAATCATTTTTAGGCAAACTTCGTTTGTGCAACAGCAGTCATAAGAAATCAAATAGGGATTCAGTTGAAACAATTTATTTCATGCCTTTGTTCACGCAGACCGACATGAGAATATACAGCGTACAAACGAAGCGAAACGAAGTGGAGAACGCTAGTGAGCCAAATTAAATGTGATGTGTTATGACTAGGTACTGTAGTCAGACAAAAATAAGCTAGACATACGACAAGCCAAGTCAGCAATGCAGATGCGCACTGAAGCAAAAACAACCAAAATACAAGTTAACAGTAGACGATGTCGAAAGACGTGTGAATAACTCTAGAAGAATGGATAATTTGGTTTGTTCAAAAGCTGAGACAAGCCCTGTAGGCTCACCATATTCGTAGACACACTACAATCATAGTATCTTTTACACTACAGTGGAATGGAATCAGAATAAGCAAAAAGTAACAAGGGTGCTAAATATTTGATAGTAAACAGTTACAGTTACAGAGGAGAGAAAAAGAATGACATCAGAATAGCATGGAGATATACAATAGGTATGGTATGGTGAGTCTAAGTCAGGATTTCTTTAAAAAAATAGACAGTAACTGTTAAATATTGAACTCAAATACAATCATGGATAGAGCAAACGCAGATGTAAAAAAGGTTACCAGCATTACAAAATGTCGGTCTGCTTCACCGGCAATTGCAGTACCATGAGTAGTGTCTACAATCCTTGGTGGTTTGTAATATCAGTTTAACTTTCAGCTATGAGTTGATAATTGCGGTCCATAAATAGTAACCAGTTTTTAGACAATCTAATTTAATTAGAGGAATTTACGATCCATGAATAAACCATAAGAAAAAGAGATTTACTCTATCTGTGGAATGAATACTTATTTTAACAATACCAGTGGTTGCTGAATTCCTTACCAGGATATTTACAAGTCCGGTCGTCAGTTAAATTCAGATGAGAAGTACAGGAGCTTACGAGAACTTTTGTTCACATGTTAACAAAATGATTAAACGAAGTTGGGCTACTATAGTCTGATTTGTATCTATAATATTTATTTTTAGATCGATTACTGCGATTTAATCTTTTGAAAAGCTAATCATGTTGAATTATGGTTACAGTGACAAGAAATCCCAGTAGAAGTGAAACTCCAACTCTGAAAAATTCCAAATAAATAGATCGCCATTCTTTGAACCTTTTGGATAGAAATTATGATATGTAAATCAAGCTACTTACAAGTAGTTGATAACAAAATATGTAGAACTTATTACATTTGATTTTTATTTTTGTCATTCCGAAAGGTTAACTCACAAATCGATTTTTCAAATAAATTATTCCATAAAAATTCACCTAGCACATATCTAGGAGCATTTTTACTCCAAGTGACAAAGGAACCCTTGAGCTTTCAGTTTCGATTTTGAAAATATTACTTTTGAATCCGTTTAAGGGTTTGTTGTCAAGATTCTTTTTGTTATCTAACATCTAGAGCATTTCTAGATAGACTAACAACATATTCACTTCTTGCTTAATTTTAATATTTGGTTAACCAAAAATTAGTTTAAATGAAAGCATAAGTTGAAGTTAGTGATTCAACTGTTAAATTTAATTTTGAAGACAGCAAGAAAAAGTGATTGAGTTTTCATCACCTGCGTACAACCTGCGGTACGTTTAGAGAATCAAAATTATCAAAGCTTATAACAGACTAAATTGCTGTGTGTCAGCGTGATGGAATAACGAGAGTGAATACAATATGTGACAGGAGATTCTGCATCATTATACCTAATGGGAAGAAGTCACAGGGATATGACAATCTTTGAAATCATGAATTGATCAATGCTAAATCACCTCTAGAAACTTGGAAACACTGTACGGCCATTTCGTCCTAGTGTAGAACTCATCAGTAGTGCGTATCTACAAACCCTTCATGCAAGAATACAACCCAGAACCTCCGATCTCGCGCGCGAACGCTGAAGCTCTAGGTCACTGAGCCGGCATCCAATGTTGTTAACGTCTAACTTCAGTCAGTCCATGATATTGCAAATGTACTCAGTACCGACTAGCTAAGTGAGGAAATTTTCAGGGTTATAGTGAGAATCTGTGACTAGTAGAGTTAGACTGTGTTACATGTGTGGCACTTACCCATAGAAGACAATGGATAAGGTCGCTCAATACTTTGGATCGGCTGAAATTAGACGTTAACAGTGTTGGATGCCAGCACAGTGGTCTAGAGGTTTAGCGTTCGCGTACGAGAGCGAAAGTCCCAAGCTGGATCCCTACATGCAAGGTCCGTGGATGCGCGCTACTGATGATTCCCTTACCTGAAAGGTACGACAGTCTTGTGCTTCTAAGTTTTTAATGGTGGTCTAACAATGATCGATTCATGATTTCAATGAAACTCAACAACCCTATAATAACAATATAATCACTTATTGACTAGGTAATAAAATAGTGGAACATAAAATGACGGCAATTAAGAACAGCATGATTTAAATTTTTTCAGTTAGAAACAATATTATAAATAGGAAACAAGTGATGCAATCACTGCACAAGACAGAAAAATTGCAGGGGACATGTAATGAACTGACGATAAAATCATTATAATAATGGAAGCTTTTTAACTGCTTCATCTTGGATACAAAAATACGGCTTAAGTCGTTGGATGTGACTGTCGACTGATGATCCTGAATGATTCTAGTATATCAATCTGATACGTTGCGTCTCAGAGATGTTTTCCAAAAGCACTGCTGAATGCCTTCAATCGCTTTGACCTGAAACCTCTTGAAATGCATTTTTTGAATTGAATGTAGCCCCATCTTTCTATTATGATAGTGTAGTTGCATTGGTAATATCTCTGACTATGAAGCTGGATGATGCGAGATCAATTCCTTTGGACAGCTTACGTTCTTCTAAGATAACAGGGCGAAACAGCACAAGACCTAGGTCCATGATTTCCTGTTGATTACCTTTAATCACCACCTCACCGTCCACGTAATAACTAATCGGTT